TGGTAAGCACATAAAAGGTCCACGTTATCCCTCATTAAGAACTAAGAGATATTGAGCTGCTCTTTCAAGCTTTCGAGTGTCAGCAATAGCAATGTCTTGCATTTAATAAATTTCTTCACGTTTGTTTCGATCTTTCTGCACAGCCGACGCGTGTAGTACAGATTATTTAAATATCTTCTTTTCATATGTAAAACACTGAACACTCACGCTTTCATTGCGGAGGTAAAAAACCCACGGCAAACAAACAAAAGCAACTGGCACTAGCCAGCCTAAAGCAATTAATATGACACGAGGTTGTTATTTAAACTGAAACAATACCGACATCTATATTTTGCACTGAAGGCAGGAATTGCTACTTATACAAAGAAGCAGTAAAAAGTAAATTTATTTGCTCTGCGAATGTGGTATTCTCAGAATTTGGTAGATGTGTTTTATCAACAAACAGGGTAAACCACAAAAAATTTCTGTCAAACTTTCTTTTTTGACTCTAGAGGTACAAGCAAGCAAAAGGTAAGGTTTGAATACAGAGAAAATTAGGTGATCTATGCATTTATAAAACTTAATTTGTGACCGAACCAAAAACTCAACACATGTCATTATTTCTTCTCTATTGCTTCCTAGTTTGACACAAATGTATTTTTAAGAACCTTCTCCTCTCGCTCTTAATGGGAGTAATCTGGTCCTTAGAAAACCATTTTTCCGGGATGGACCTTCGAGTTCAACTGAAGTGCACCTCGTTCAAAGAGTTGCTTGTTAGCGCTAGATAACTGGTTTGACTTTAGTTTCAAAACCAGCTTAAATTTTTTTATTTGAGAATTAGACCACCTCGTCGAAGATTCAAAGTAGCCTAAAATTTTCTGTTTAAAGCAGTTGCTACCCGATATGCTACAAATTGCTTTAATTTCTTTCACAGCATTAATTTGCATTTGTCTCACAGCGTGTGCGTAAATAGAAAGTCCGTTTCGTGACTTGAACCACGAAATTGATGATTTAAAAAATTGAAACGTTATAATTAAAACTTTCAATTTTCCTTGAGATACCTGTCGCTAGTTCAAAAACTAAGTGACTTCATCAACCAAAAAAATGATGACAGTCATTTTCGTTTAAACGAATGTAGAAACGAATGGTTGGCAAACTTGAAGAGTTGGAAAAGCGAAACTTATTTTGAGTTTTCAGTCCAAAGATATTTTCGACAAATTGCGCCCTGCGTCATGTGTTGTGTCCTGAGTTGAAAGCTCTTCCACTTTAAAATGCCAGGAAGCGAGGGCATATGGTCTAATTGTGCGATAATTCTGCCTCGCGTAAGCCGCATGGAGATCTTTTTTCGTTCAACGGCCAGCTTGCATTTTCCTTCGAAAGATTCTAAACTTTTATGTATTTTGATGAATTACCTATCTAATGTTAATGTTAAGCTGAGTGTATGCGAAATATGGTATTTGCGGCTACAAGCATGCAAAACAAGCCTTTTTAGTACACCAGAATGGCTAAAAATAGACTTATAGCCTATTAATAATTCTATTGGTTAATTTTGACGCCGTACAACGGAAGACGATATTCATAACAGGAAAAAGCAACAACTCCCCTAACGAAACCTTAAAACCCGCTGAACGATTTTAAGTTTCCTTTATTCTTGTTTGGTAAAATATGAGTGTGTTTTTAGAGGTTTAAAATACTTTTAAAAAAAAAAAAAAAAAAAAAAAAGCGATCGTTTGCAGAAATGTTTTGAGTGGTCAAAAAAAAAAAGAAAAAAAAAATCAAATAGGCTAAGAAGCAGGGGTTAAATGTAGAACATCCGGACCTATAAAGTAGAATTTCATTTGACAAGTGACCATACAACGTTCCAGGTTTTCCTGTACCAATATTGACGACCTCAGTTGCAGTGTCGATCGATATTATGAAAAAACAAATTTATTGAAGGCCTGTATGGGCATAACTCTCTACTGTACACTGCAGTGAACTAAATTAATGGCGCCGAGAGGAAAATTTAATACTTCAGAGCGGAATAGTCGCGATGTAGGTTTTTTTTTTTATTCCCCACCTTCACTTTTATCAGTACTTCATAGCAAAGACAATCACGAATATAGCTGGTAGTAATTAATTCTTGTTAAATGGTCATATTCGTTCATCGTAACACAAGAATATTACTGCACAGAGCTGAAACAAAATTTTGCTGAAGAACTTAAGTTTATCTGTCAAAAGAAGAAATTTTTGGATTAACATAATGCGATTTCTATGTTGACGTGTAGCTCACCAAGAGCGAGTTTTTTAAAACCTTTCATCCTTCCCAATTATACCAAAATGAGAAAATCCGAAAGTAACTTTCGAAACTTCACGAGTAATTTGGCGATGACTCTTGAAAACCCGGTTGGTATGTTTTTTTTTTGATAGCTTTGTGGTCGTTACGTAGTTGACATCACTTATGATTTCAAGGTTTATATTTCATAAGTCATATTGAGTGAATAATGCAGGAGGATGTTGTAATCACATTGCAAAATATTACCATCGTCATAGTTCATCAAGCCAAGTTACCAATAAGATGCTACTGTAGGAATCGGGATTCAACTAGCCATTTCCCTAACTGTTAAAAAATCTTGCCCAAGCCCTTAGTGTGGCATGTTCCGCGTAAATTTAATCGGTGAGACGGCAACGCGCCAAGCCTTTTGATTTCGTAACCTTGTTAGTGAGCGAAACATTAATTGCTACTTGGGTAATTCGCCCACAGACTGCACGTACTTGCACATCTTTTGTTGGCCACGAGCAGCAGAATGACATTTCTCATTTTTGACTACTTCCAGCTGCTGCAAGCTTTTTAAGATAGATTACAACCAACTTTAATCTCACATTTACTGCCGCTGATTTCAACATATCGCTTGACTGCTATTCAAGCGAGCAAACCCAGTTTTCAATTCACGCTTACTGTAACTTTTTGATCGACAGTTTTTGCCAGTATTCAGCTTTCGTTTTGCCCTGCAAGTTATTACCACGATCAGCATTTAAAGGTGAGAAAAAAAATCTTTTACTCAATCCTTTTGTATAAAAATGTTGTAATGTTTATCTCCAAACTTACTCATTTTGGAGACTTCATTTTATATGCCTACATATCGTATATTAGTTAACTCACTCAACCGTTCAAAAATTTTCCATGGCATTTGCTTGTAGCATTGTAAATTTTAATGGTGTTCCTTACAGGAGGATATCGGCCCATTTACTTATCATCATTTTCCACTTCCACATGAAAAATTCAGCTCTCTAACGACGAGAATTTTTGAAATTTTTATGCATGCACTTTTTGTTATTACTTGGAACATTTTGATCTTGGGTCTTCCTTTAATTTATCATGTATGTGTCGTTAATTTAAGGTGGGACACAACTGCTCTAAGATTTGCATAAAAGAATCCTTTGATGAGCTGATGACCTCTCGAGGTACTTGAGTAAGGCATTCTTCGAAATGTCATTTACACTCATTTTAAAATTTCTAGATAATTAAATACATCAGTGCGATTAAATATAGCACAGAATATTAAAGTGCTCTAGCGAGAGACTCCGCAAAGAAAAAAACGCGCACAATTTTTTGAAAAAGACCGCAGTCAATTTTACACACTAAGGCTCTTTCGCAATTTTGAAAAGCCAAAGATGTGGTTTTCCTTGAGTAGAAATGTACTTTGACCGGAAAAACTGTAAAATATATTGACTTGGAGACTAAGAGCACTTCTTTGACAGTGCATCTCTGGTAAATAGACAACAGGAAAACTTGTGTAAAGGTAAACACAGGATGCAAACGATATAGAAGACCTCTATATGTGTACAATTAAATGAAAATCTTACGAACATTAACATTTTTCGAAAAATAACGGATTTTCCTTAAAGCAAGGTTTACAGTATTATGCTCTTTATATTTTATCTGGTCTGGTGTTATAATCAGCGGATCATGTAAAACTGCAGCTCCGGCCCGTGGGGATAAAATCGCTAAGTTTTTTATTTCTATGTAGCTCGATTTTTCATGAGTTTGTATTCATTTGTTCGCCAAATAATGGCATTTCTTTGCCTCAAGTTTTTAAGGCAATAATCCCTTCAAATTTCTTAATGGTATGGCATTAAAAATCTGAACATTAAACCGCAAAAAATAAGGCGGCTCCTTTGAGCAGAAGACCGTTTAGTTCTTGATTTCACAAGCTCCATTTTTGACATGTTTGACATCTACATTTTCATAGCCTGTCATTCATTTTACGTTGCCTGAAAAACATCCTGAAGTTCCTAACGCGTGACACGGCACATGACTTCGTGCTGAGTATCTGTCGCTGTGCGTTTTAATTTTTCGAGAGGTTGCAAACCAGCAAAAAGGGTGAAAAGGCTTATTTATAACTGAAAGCCTATTATAATTACAGATTTTAGCAAAACATTTTGTTAATGATAGAAAATTATTGCACATGCTAAATGGCTAGACTTTTTATTTTTTCTGCACCATATCACCTACGCAAGAACGATCCCTCTGTAAGATAAATCTCTAATTAATTAATTCACTTGTTGTAAACTTTTTTTCTTAACTCATGTTTCAATCAGGTGTTTTGTGTATCACTCTTACCCAGTCCCCAACGTTTAGATTTCACCTACTAGCAAAAACAGCCACAGTGGTTTTCATTAACTTTTGCAGGACCGTTCCCGAGCTTCAACGTGGCAAGAACCATTTCCTCTTAAGGCTCGAACCAGTTCCTCTTGGCGCTCAAACCAGTTTCTCTCCAAGCCCAAACCGGTCTCGTTGCTCGAACCAGTTTCTCTCGAAGCTTGAACCAGTTCTTCTAGGCGCTCGAACCAGTTTCTCTCGGGGCACGAACCAGTTCCTTTCAGTACTCGAACCAGTTTCTCTCGGGGCTTGAACCAGTTCCTCTCAGGGCACAGGCCAGTTCCTGTCAGAGCTCGAATCAGTTTCTCTCGTGCGTGTTTGGCGTCACCCTTCTTTTGCAGTTTCAGCTCTTGGATAGTTGTTTGTCTTGACGTGAGAAATGAGCCTATACGCAAACGCTTCTATTGCAAGCATCAACACGACATCCACTCCAGCAATATTTCAACCAAAATCAAAAGTGGAGAAATTTTTCGTCTTCCTCTCCATTGCAGAGATCCTCATCATCCTTATGGCGCTAATCGGCAACTTCGTGGTCGTGTATTCATTCATCGTATCCACTAAACTACGAACAAGTGTTACAAATTATTTCGTAGTCTCTTTGGCGATATCCGATTTACTAACTTCAGGGTTAGTGATGACGTTTAAAGTGGAATACACTCTAAACAGTTACAAATGGAAGCATGGCAAGTTCGAGTGCGGTCTCTATACTACCATGTATCTACTGGCGGTGCCAAGTTCCGTTATAAATCTTTGCGCTGTCACGGTAGATCGTTACTTGGTTCTGAGGTTGCCTCTTCACTACGCCTCCCTTATGACTCCAAGGAGGGCAGTTTCTATAATCTGCTGCGTGTGGATGTACGCACTCTTTTGGGCGTGTCTACCTTTCATGGGCTGGAGATTTCATGTACCCATAATTCAAAACGGCCAGTGCTACTTTGTGAATACAGCAGCCTATAATATCACAGTCAATGTCATGAACTTTTTACTACCAATGATATTCATGGCAATATTTTGGTCTCTTATCTGCTCCATTGTCCTTCGGCACCGTGAAAGGGTTAGAGAACAAGAAACAAATATTTCTTTCAACACGAACGAATCTGCATGTTATTCTACCAACACTCTGTGCATCGGAAATGCCGCGACATCGATGCAACTTGAACCGATTGCCAGAAAAAAAAAGGCTGGAAAGAAAAAAATGCAGCGAAATTTTAGTGGATGTCGATACATTGGAATCATTGTCATGCTATTTTACATTTGTTGGCTGCCTTACGTGACATTAAGTTTGATTGCAAACATTTGTCTGTCGTGCATTAAATCGCCTATCACGTTAACACTGTCTGAGACATTCGTCGCGTTAGGGTTTTTAAACTCCGCTCTAAATCCATTTTTTTATCCATTCCACGACAAACGGTTCAAGGAAGCGTTTAGAGACATTTGGAAGAAACTGCGAAGTAAGAGTTTCTTAAAGGTGTTACATCGCAAAGAGAAAGTTTTGGAGGTAGCGAGACTGGAAATCGTAGTCCGTGGTCAGTGATTGGCAGAGAGCTTCTTGATTGGGTGCTGTAAAATCAAAACTAAGGTAATAGGGTTATTATCACAGGAAGCCTTTAAAATGTCATAATCTACGTGACTAGCCAGAAGAAGCAGAAAAAAAGCGCAAAAAAGAAACCACAGGGAAAAAAGGGCGGGAAAAAAAAAAACGGCGGAACCAAAAAAGCGGAAAATGGCGCGGGGAGAACAGTAATTGATTATATTGCGTCTGATTTAAGATTTACATCTGATTGGATGAAAAAGTGGTGTGAGATTTTTAAGCCGATCAAAATGCGCAGAGGATCTAAAGACATTCGATACAATTTCGGTTGTTATTTTCGACGCTTGATTGAACACTGTTTTAACTGTGATTAAAGTAGAATGTATATATTTTTTTATTAGAGAAGTATTAGATTCATGAGATGCATTAAAATCATTATATCCTATTCAAAATGACAGCCAATTTGTTTTGCGGGTTCCTTCCTCGTTCTCACTTACAAGAAAGAAAGAGGGCCTGGGAGCGAGATTGACTGGCAGAGTGAGCGCTCTCTTGACGTAATTATTGCTAACTGATTCACGTCCTATCCGGGGAGATTGGACTGGACTCCAACTAACGTAATGCTGCAGAACTTGAAGTAAGATAAGCGCAAGGAGATCTTGACCACTTGGACTACAACTGCTTTTGAAACATAGATAATAATAAACATTTTTAAAAAATCCAGTCTCTTAGGCTCTCTAAGATGAAACTATTGCCAATTGTAAATAAGTTTAAGCGTTTCATTAAGAAACTTTTTAACATGTCAATAATTATTCCTATGGAAAACTTGAAATGATTTTGTTGTTGTTGTTGTTGTTTCTGCTTAATTTCTAATTGAAATAAATATTTTGAAGAAATCTTCTTGCAAGTGCTGAACTTTGAACTCTATCAATTATTAAGAAAGGTGAAAAACCCAAGCTATACACACTCTCTCAACTGTACTTGGGTTACTTTCCTTCTTAACTTTCCCCTTAAAAAGAATACCCACCCTTTTAAAAGTGCATTTGAAGAATTAGAAAATGAACTCATGTTTTGAAACTCTGTCAAGTCAGGAAACCCGCCATGCAAATTCACATATCGACCTCGTTCTGAAGGTTTTTGTCCGAGAGGCTAAATTTGCACATGTTAATCTCTCAATTCATTTACATTTTTGGCTCCTCGTGGTCTGAACTGATTCACTGCTCAAGGAAAAAGTGCTAGAAAAACTCGTCCACTAGTCAAGTCTAACGTTTAAACGAAGCTAGAAGCATTTCGGAATCGTTTATGCCTTATGCTCTGACAGCGATTGAAAACCATTATCAGTTTTTTCTCAACAAAGCCCAAGGTAAGAGTCACATAGAATTCAACTCGTAAGTTCTTGTACAGAAAATTCTGATGTACACTAACACTTGAAGCGTAGGCGTGTTAAACTAGTTTTCGATAAAAGCTCCGTTAGAAGTATTTTGGAGGAAAATACATAAATAACATCATCAGCCTAAGCCGATGCGGTAACTTCAAACAGATTTAATATTTCCAAATATACGAAGTGTAATTCTTGCCAAGGTGTGATTAGAAATTGAAAATAGATGTGGCTGCATGACAAATAACATCAGGAATTTTCGCGCCAAGTAAAAGATCAGAAGAATTTTAGCAGGGTGTTTACGTGATTTTGCCAAAAATTGTTCTATCTTTTGTTGTTGTTTAAAGCAAACAAGTCAAGGATTTAATTGGTATGCTGCAGCTGTCTGAGGTTTTAATTTTTTTTGTTTATTTACAATTTCTGCGAATCTCAGATCAGGTGGAATTTTACATGTCTTTTCTCTACTTTGTCGGCCAACTAGCATATCATTGTGCGCGTCATTTTTCTTTTCTTAGGAACTGGAATTTTACTGAGGAAAAAGATACCTTCTGTTTACAACTAGGAAACATTTAGGGTTTCTGAAGGATTTCTAGAAAGATCAAGTAATTAATTACAATTTCCATATCAATGTTTAAAACATGTTTCAGGATTTTTATGTTGAAGCCTATTAAATTGTCCCAAACTCTATGGAACCACAAGAAATAATTAGTTTTTTTCACGTTTTGGATTAATTTAGATGATGCAAGTACCATAAATTAAGCGTAGGAGGAGGAACAGTTGGATCGGAAGCAAAAATCAAGCAACAGTAAGTTACAGCATTCGATTTAGTAAGTTACAGCATTCGATTTAGCTTTGAAACAGGCTCATTGTGTGTAAACACACAAGCTGCCGCCAGGCTGTTGTATTCAAATTTTGTCGGTCAGTCGGCCGAAAAATACTTAATTTGAGTCGTTCGGTTGAAAATTAGGTGAGATTTCCACACAGTTCCATTCTATTCTAAAACAAAACTGTAGTTCCGGAGGTAATATATTGTTTTCACTACACATTTACTTATCCAAGAGCTGTATACAAAACAGATATTGGGGCTGTGCAGAAATCTTACCGGACGTTTTAAAAGAAATGGTATAAGAGAAAAGTGAAGCGGTCAATACGAAGTTTAGAAGCCTTGTTTAAATCGATTTGTTTGGATGACAGTTTCTTCAAAAGATAATTTGTGCGAAATAAGTTATGCAAAAATTCTCACCTGCGTTTGATGAAGATTTAACACGAAATTATGCCACCGGTAAAGAATGATCGGAATGAAGAAACTTTTCAGCGAGCCTTTGAGCAAATGATAAATAAAAAAATTACTGTTTCCATCATACCGTTTACGTTTTTACCAAATTTAAAAAGCTACCTTTCGTCCTCTGTTTCAGTTATAAAAAACATTTTTTAGGATTTCCGCACAACCTTGTACTATTAAAAAAAAAGCTTTTGTCCCAAAGGTAATTTCTTTTGTTCGTCATTGTTTTCTTTCACCAAGTAACTGGTTACATAATGAAATATGGGTTTATGGTAACTCTTGACAAATTATTTTCTTTCACAAACAGACTTCTTGTTTTCTTCTGTTTCAGTAATAAAAAAAACATTTTTGAGGATTTCTGCACAACTTTTACTATTCAAAAACACTCTTTTGTCCCAAAGGACAAACATGTTAACATACAAACGAAATAATTGCTAACGGAATTAAGATTGATAACTATGTCAATATGCTTGACAGGGGCTCCGTCCAAACTTTTAAATCCTTTGTCTATCATGACGTTCGCCATCGTTTTCTTTTATCAAATAAATGGTTACGTAATGAAATATGGGTTTATAGTAACTCTTGACAAATTATTTTCTTTCACAAACAGAATTTTTAGTTATTGAAGCAAATGTCTGAGAGTATTTGAAAATGCGCCAAACACTTACATAGCGTGTCCGTTATTATTTGTTTTTTTCAAATGCTTCGAGAATTTAAATTAAACACCTTTATTCGCTCAATGATTATTTCTGAGGGCACATTTGCATGCCACCCGAGCAACACCATTAATCACCTTTCAAACCAATAAAAAACGGGTGAATTCTAAAAATTTCGCGATCTCACCGAATTCAGTTTTTTTGTGCAAGCATCAAAACAGTGGATTTTTTGCGGATTCAAACTTACAAATTGTTAAGTTTCACTTGTATTCAAAATGTGCCCAAATGTCATAGTTTGTTAACAGCGAAGGCCAACGATCAACAAAATTGTTACGTCTGTTTTCATTGTCTCGACTTTTGTGTAATTTGACCAAGTTGTGGAAAATGCTAATCGTGAGTTGGGATTCATTATTGGGTTATCAAGACTAAATTTGAACGAACGTATGTAAGTTATTTGGGAAAACAAGAGTATGAAGTTGGCTATAAATAATTTGAATGAATCGTGATCACCACTCCAAGGGAAATAGAAGTGCATGATAGACAAAGGATTTAAAAGTTTGGACGGAGCCCCTGTCAAGCATATTGACATAGTTATCAATCTTAATTCCGTTAGCAATTATTTCGTTTGTATGTTAACATGTTTGTTTACTAATTGTGCTATCTTGTATTTCCATTAACGATCCTTGTCGATGCTGATCATAAGCATGGAGAGTCGAGATTCAGCGAACACAGCACAACGGGAACTAAAGTTGTTCAAGAGCCGGAGAATGTTGGAAATTAATTTTAGAGGTAACAATTGTGAATTAGAAGCTTAGTGCCGCTAGTTTCTTTTCTCAAATCGTTGTGAAACAAATTCAGATTTTGTTATCAGCGTCAAGAGAACTCGCCAAGTTAAGATTGGTTTTTTACGTCAAAGGTAACTGTCTATTGTTGACTTCAACATACTTGACTCATCACAAGAAAAAGGCTAAACTTTCTGCATTTAAAAGCAAGTTTACAACAAAATTTGAAATTATTTCGTCACGGAAAAATTGTCTAAAAAATAGAAACGAGTTTGACTCTTTGAACTTACTTTATTTAAAAATTTTATTTTTTTTCGGATACTTTGAATTTATAACTTTTTCTCGCAATGGTTTCTCCTCAAACATTCAATTCAAATTTTCTCTATTTCTTAATAGTTGATGAACTTATCAGACTTGCTGTGAGGTTCGTAAATTTCCTTTGCCTTGATTTGGTTATCATTATAAATTTTTTGATGAAAATTTGGATGATGGTTAGTTGTCGTTGAGAGACTTGGTTAACTTTGGGGATTTTTTTTCGTCCCGCCTAGATACTTACCTATTACTGTTAATTTGACTACGACTTTTGTATTGTTGTAAACACAGATTGTAATAGGTAATAAAAACTTGCAAACAAATAAAAGACTTTATTTCTACTTTTGTATTATTTATTCCCTTTATTGATTAAACAAATTAAAAAAAAATCCGCACTTTCAAAAGGACCTGGAAACTAGTCAAAATATAGGCTATCTCTTTTACTTTTATTTGCGTATGGAGGGTTGCCGAAAGGAAAAAAATTCTGCGAATTTGAACGGGTGTCTGGCATTAAAACAAACCATATACTGGAATTTTGATTGGAGAAAATCTTTTGCATGATGCAAGATTTTTCCCGCCAAAAGACTTAGTATATTTTTTGTTCAATACCAGACACTATTCAAAAGGGCAGACCTTTCTTCCATCGACAAATTTCCCGCCAAAAGACTTAGTTTTTTTTTACTGATTATTTCATCTTAACTTCTTAGTCTTTCTGAGAAAACTTTCCCGCAATAAAACTTTTCTTTTCGATATTGAGATGGCCCTTTTAAAAGCCATTGTGCGAAATTTCTTGTTACGCAGAAGTTGCTCTTCATCACCAAGTGCGAGTGACTATTTCTCATGAACAGTGAATCAACTTTATTTCGTTCAACGAAATGCATCTAGTCTTGTATCTTCATCCTTTAAACCTGAAAGAAAAAGAAGTGATCAATGGCAATGGTTTCGAGTGTCCTCTCAACTGAGGGAGTCACATCCTTAAACCTAAGACATTAGAGACAGCGAGACTCTGGGATGAGTTCGATCACAAGCACAAGGTTTGATTTCAAGTTCTCAACGGAATTTATTGGATTTAACTGAAAGCTTTCGTGATTGAAAACTAGAAAATTTCTCTATCGTTACAGCTTTTTTTTTGATACCGAGCTCTTTTTGCAAAGACGCGTTATCAAATTCAGTGCATTTTCCCCCCAAAGTGAGGCCGACAGAGCGTGCCTGCTATTTGACTATTTGGAAATCTTGCACGCCTTGTATTATTCTTCTTTAAATCTAAAGGTTTACTCTTTCTATTTAGTAGCAACAATTTTATAACTATAACCTCTCCTCCCACCCCCCCTTGCAAATCAGTTTCACCTTTGAATGAACGATATCTCCTAAAAGCCTGATTACGTAACGTAGGATTACGATTACGTAGGCTCTTTCAGTATGCTCATGAAATACGAATTCATGTTTCATCTGAGAAAGTTAAGGTAATATATTACGGTGGCTCGTAATTTTTTACATCTTTATCGCATAAGAATTTTGTGACAAATTCACGATTATTGTTGTCCAGATACGTTTAAGTATAAAAGTTATGTTGCATCTACTAAATTAAGATCCACGAGAAGCAACTTCAAGAGAAGCGAGACTGCCCTTATTTCGACCTTTTAGAAAATTAACGAACATTTTTTTCTTGATTTTTTGGAAGCACCCATTTTTTCAAATGGAAAAAAAGTCTTTGAACAAGATTTAGAGACAACATGAAAAGTTATAAAATCGTGTATTTTGTTTTTGTCGTCGGTAGCCATCAAATATTAAAAAAAAAAGTTTAATTTTACAGAAGGCTATCAAGTTATTTTCGTAAAATGTTCGAGATTTGGACACTTTCTATGTTTCCACGGGACAAATTTTGAAGTTTTTCTTCATACGGTTTTTTGATATATGTTTTATAGCTTCCGCGAAAGGGTTTTGAAAAATCATCACCTACTCGATGCAAAACAAAGCCAAATACAAGAGCGCTTTTCGATTTAATGTCGTAGAACCAAACCCAAAGTAATCACAACGGCCTGTACCAAATACCTTTGAGAGCCAATGAAAACTTAAAGTAAAAACAGCGAAACTGCCTAAAGCGCGGGAAAACAGGTATATTTTAGAGCCTTACAGGAGGTTAAAAAAGATGTTTTCGTGACACGACCAAAATCTTCTGATCCCTTCCCCACCTTTGCCAAAATAATGACATGGTTTAAAATGTTCAATCATTAACTAACCTGTATTGACAGAATTTGTCCTTATGACGTTGATCTTGTTCCTGATCCATAGTCGTTCTTCCCTTTGGATGCAAGAGTGATGGATAAAGGACACACAAACCATTAGCTCACGCGCAGATTATGATACGTGGTAAAAAAGCGATCATGAGAGAATTGGGTTTACTACCGGCGCAAGAACAAAGTTTCATTGAAGGGAGAGGAGGTTTCTGGCATTAAATTGACGGAGGTTGAGATATCATTTCCGCTCTCAGTAAAATTCTTCCATGTGACATTTTAACCCCTTGACAGCTGAGAGTGACTAGTACCCGATCTCTTCTCTCAATATTACCCCTGAATCATACAGTAAAGCCACGAGAAAAGGAAATGATCAACAGCTAAAGAGGCTCTTGGTTGTTAAACAAATTCTCCCTGTCAGCACCTTAGGAAATGTATAGAGAACAGTATGGAGAATATGCATACTGATGTTAGGGTGTAAAGTGTTGGTCTGTCTGGACATGCATGAAGATGAATCAGAGTAGCTCCAGTTGGTGGGAAAATTTACAATCAAACCTTTCTAATGTCTCTCAATTTCTAACTGGCTTGCCACCTTGTGTCCCTCAGGGGGGGAGGGAAGGGTGAAGAGGAATAAAGAGGGTTTAGTGAGCGAGACGTATCTTAACATTCTAACTCCCATGAGTGACCAAGACAGAATTTCTCCTTACAATATCAATACAGTATCAAGCAGGCAAGTAATGAGAATAAATAAAAAGTAACTTAGGGGATTATTAGCTGTTCCAATACCTAATTCTCCGAACTAACATCTTAAGAATTGTTTGGCAGACAGTAAGGAGAAGAACTAATGAGATCTTGGGAGTGAATGGATTAATCCTAGTCCGTACACGAAACACACCGTGTCTTCTACACGGAGAATTATTGATGAGAACGTAAACTTGTGTCGTTTAGTGCTTCGTTGTATAATTCATTCCGGTACCAAGATTTGAAAGTTCCGCTTAATGTAATCAATGTAATTCAGTCCTCATAGTTTTCCTTAAACTAGCGGTAGCTTTCACAGGGTGCAGAAAATTATTGATAACTAAAATAAAGACGCTGGAGATTGAAGTTGATGACTTACATGAACTCAAAGAAGACAAAACTGTTCTCAATTCACGACACGACTCCGTTGGCTTAACGATGACGGCTCCAACCCATTTGAGAGGTCCGCGATGCACCAAAAACCGACATTTGAAACCATTCAACGCTTCAGCTTCATCTCTCAGTTATTACGAATGTTTAGTAAATGGAGGACAACGTTTTCTCTGACCAAAATCTGTGATTTAAGGCAGGTAGTTTTAAACTACACAACCAAGTGAAATTCTAAGCTCCACGTGTAAAGTTGACTGAAGGAAAATGAATACTAAATGAGAGTTCTTATATTTGCATTTCAAATCACACATTTCACTTGCCCCTCAATATACCATGCGGGAGGGGGACGGGGGAGGATAGGGTACGAATGGGAGAGGAGAGGTATGAGAAATCACCTTTCTTAGTGTAAGTGTGGTCAGGAGTCACATTTTGAAAATAAAAAGATATATATTAAATTTTCTGCTCTTTTTTTTTAACCACATGGCTTTAATTGGCGGTCGCGGACTTTTTCGAATGGATTAAACGAGCGTAACCACGCACACACGCGTATGCGTGCGTGTGAGTAGTTTGCGTGTGAGCGTGTACGGAAGGGCGGCACTACTTTACAAGCGCACCCCTGGGGAGGGGGGGTTAGTTACGGTTGATTTATTTATATGCCCCCATTGGAAACTGGAATCGAAGTTTTTTAGAAATGAATAGGTGAGTAACTTGAGGCTTATAAGCAGGGGTTAGGAAGGGGGAGGTGATTTTTCCTTGAACACGACACCGAGGCCAGCGTGACAAGGTACTGCTGGTAACGCATTGTGGGAAGGCAGTGATAGATAGCAATGCACTCTTTTATGAATACCATCCTCTTACCGAATCGACGGCTGAGAACGTATGGTCTGCAATGCGTACAAACATGAACTGATTCACCGAGAACTGTACGCTCTGATAAGATATTTATTTAAATACATCAATATACATGTATAATATACACTCTTGTCACTCTATTTAACCGCCATGGGCGGATTTTTCATACACATATAACAATATACATGATCATGGTGAATTATCTCATTGTCATATTTTATTGATACCAATCAGGGAGGGCTTTGATGGATCAGACTAATTAATACGTAGACGATGGTTTTCTTACTCAATTGAAAAACGCGATCTTATATTTCAGGGATCAAATTTTCACTAAATTGGATTTACCTCCTGTGTAATGCTGCTGCAAAATAATCCGTATTGGACATATCAGGATCTCGAATGAAATTTCAAAGGAAATCTCTAATCACCACGTATCAGATATCGGGAAAACTTATTCTAGAATGGGCACAAATATGAATAATTTCCGACAGACGGATTAACATGTGCCAAATAGCATTTCATCAGTGTTTAATAATACCATAAAACCCCACGAAACGGACAATTTTTTCTGCAATCAATTCCACAGTACTGTGATTGTAAAAGCCCTCTAAAAATCTGATGCACAATTTCTCAATGAACGTTGAACAGACCATAAGTTTACGCATATATGATAAATTCACCTAAAAGTGTTGGGTATTTTTAGTGTAATGATCACCGATAGATGAATAACAGGCTTGTGTAATTTTGAATGCGCACAAGACAACTTGCGGGGGTACAGAAATAGAGAATAGGACCCATTCCCCTCGCAGCTCCGACAGTCAAGTTCTTTTTTTTCTAACTGATTACTCAGCTAGACACAAGTACATAATTTATCTAATCACACGTTCAACCATTCCGTAACAGTTTCTATAATTTGCGTCTTACCACGTGTCGCCTATGTTCGCCCAGCCGAGCCCATTTTTTTCAGAGTCCGTAACAACCGTTTGGTGTTGATCCATAGAAAATTCCCTCGATGCTCTAGATAAAAACTGCACCTTTGCCATGTGATTGTAGTAACGTAGAAATGGCCTTGCTTCTCAGTTTTTTCCACATGTCTTTGAACGCCGCTTTAAAGTGTTTGTCATGGAACGGGTACAGAAATGGATTAAGGGCTGAGTTGAGGAAACCAAGTGCCAGAAATACTTCGTAGAGAATAGGAGGAACGCGCGCCATGCATGATACACAGATGTTGCCTATAACACTTAAGCTGACGTACGGAAGCCAGCAGAAATAGAACAGTACAACGATAAAGCCAATGAAGCGAGATCCGCGAACGTTACGCCGCAAACGTTTTTCCTCTGTCTTTTCATTTCGCGCCGTAAGCTGAGTCATTGCATAGACTTCTCCGTTTGTGTTGTTGCTCGAATTCGAGGAGTCGTTAGTGTTACGCGAAAGGCTTCTCTCTATTTTCAGAACTCTCTTGCGATGCTTGCGAACTATTGAATAGATTAACACCCAGAAGATAGCCATGAAAACCATGGGAAATAAGAAGTTTATAACATTCATTAAATTATTGTATAAGTTTGTGGACGAATGGTAACAATACCCGTTTTGCAACACAGATGCTCCGTTTGTAACATTCCAGCCTAAAATAGGCAGGCAAGACCACACTATAGCGTAAATCCACAGAAAACAGATGATGCCAACGGCTCTTTTTGGCGGCATAAGGGTCGTGTAACGTAGGGGCATCCTCAAGACTAGGTATCTATCCACTGTGACGGCGCACAAGTTGATTACAGAGCTTGGTAAGGCTAGTAAAAACATTGTTGTATAGAGATGGCACATGAACAAACCATGTGTCCAAAGGTAACGTTTAGAGTTCATGTCCGCTTTGAACGCAGTGACCAGCCCTGAGGTTAAGATGTCTGATACTGCCAGCGATATGACAAAATAGTTCGTAACGCTCGTCCGAAGTTTTTTGTAGGCAACAAAAGCGTACACGACGAGGAAGTTGCTGACCAACGATACAATTGCTATGATAATCTCGGCTGTAACCAGGAATATCATAAAATATCGATTCCCGTATTCTTCTGGAGTCGCAGTCTGCAAGGGGTCAGTTGCATTCGAATAATTTGTGTAGTTTGCCATGTCTCCTCGTAGGTTTGTCAGCTTCCCTCACCTGAAAAAAAGCGTTCAAAAAGACTAGTGTTAAATTATGATCTTCCTGATCTAAAAATTGCTCTTTAATTCCCTATCAAAACATGACTAGCTGCGGTTAGCTTTCCCTGTAAAAGAGATTAATACAAATCTGATTATAAGATTAACATATATTGCGATATTTGCGAGTTGTTGCCTATTTTGTTTACCGATAGCATTGGTGTTGTTCCTGCCGCAGCGGTCGAACATGACGCGATGAAAGGAATTTTTTTTTCCTTCAAGAAAAAAAAAACGTGAGGGAACCCTTGGAATTTTCGTCTTAAGATGTCGTCGTTCGTAAATTGTCAGCTACTTGAAATCATGTTCACTTGATTATTGACGGAAAGGATCAGCAGATCTCTTAAAAAGAACTATTCTAAGTAATCAGTTTAGTAAGATTTCCACAGAAATTCTCGGAAAGAAATAAAACGCATTAGTGCGCTGTTAGCGGTGTTCCCAGCATCCAAAAAGTCTTTTTTTAAGCAAATCTAATTTGGGCCAGTTATTCACGGCATTTAAAAAGTGTTACCGCACTGTCAAAGGCGCGACAGGTCGAATACAGTAATTTGTCTCTCTGCCAGTTATTGATTGACATAAAGTTTAAGTTTTTGCAACAAAATTTGGCCTTATGAAAATATCAAAGGTCTCAAATTTGAACTTTTTCTCATTTCCTAGCACTCAGTTGGTCATTTTTGTAATATTACGTTTGAGGAAAGTGCTTTAGAATCATAGATATATCTATTACATTATGCATAAAAGCCCCGGAAACACCTTGAGAGGTTGACAGATGCAAACTAAAATATTAGCATTTTTAAAATCTCTATTTTCGTCATTCTGTTTGGTATCTTTGAGGATAACAACTCCCAGAAAAATCAGTTATTTCGATAGAGTTTTTCTCGCTTTTTCGAATTATTCCAGAAATGCTTTTTCCATCGCTGTCAACATTCGCTAAAGCAGATGGATTTCCAACGGAAATATATTTCCAATGCAAATGGATTGCATGATGTCGATTATAAGAAACAGTTGACCGTGATTAATAATGTATTTATCTTAATATATTTTAGCTTTCTATATCTAACAATCTGGCTGATGTACATGTTATCACAGTTTGCTTTCATTAACGGACATTATTCCTTGCCAGTTTTTATTTCGAAGTGAAACTTCCCTGCCAAAATGACAGCAAAAACACAACAGGTGAATTCATTCATACTTATTGTTGAGATGACAAAGTCTTAGCCTGCTAAAAACAATTTTTATCATAACTAATAACTAATCAAATCACAACGAAAGCTGAGAAAGCTTGAGACAGAATGAAAAACTAAACCGCGTTTTGTCCCACTTAAAAAACCATACAACTAGTTAGTAAGAAACATTTTTAGAGGTTACTTCCCGTTGCAGCAGAAACGCTGAGAGCAGTTGAATGTCGCTAGTAATCTAGGTGCTTTGTTTTTGTTTTAGTTCGCTCTGTGAATGGTTAAGAAAACTCGCGCTACTCTTAACGTAACCAATCAGAGGCAAAACTAAAACCAATCAAGACTTGGTCGCCCGCGTTTTCCCGCGCTTTAAGCAGTTTGGTTGTTTTTACTTTAAGTTTTTGTTGACTCTTAACGGTATTTTCCTTTGCAGTTGGGATTATTTTGGTTTTTTTTTTTATACGCACTCCATCGAAAAGTGCCGCACTAACGTTCGCGCTTTTTTTTTTTGCTGTTCGATCTTGGAACTTAAAAAATAATCAACCACGACTTAGCCATGTGCGCCTTCCCGCGCTTGACGCAGATCATGTAAATTTTCACACCAATTTCCGTTAAGTTATCATTGGTCACAATTGTTCCGAATAACCACCAAGTTATATTCAGTTAATGACGTCAGCAAAAATCGTGTCACGTGGTACAAACATGTAACTAGCAGAGTATATAGGGGAAACTACGAGGGAACTATGAAAAATTGACGGGGGGGAGGAGGGATGGATAAGTAGAATATTACATATCCTTAAGAATGGGGGAGGAAAATCAGGTTTATTTTAAAATATATTTTCGTTACACGCCACGAGCTGAAATCATTCAAAATTATCCTCAGTTTTCTATGGGCTTTCGTACAAGGTAACAATGAAATTAACACCTTTGGCCACGAGAATCGATGGACAAAATAATTGAACAAATGTAAGGTAGCTTTGAGATTACGCCTTCCAAAAGCTTTTATATCAATAGGGCACTTAAGAGCCAATTTGCACGAACATGAAAAAAAAAGAGGAAAAAAATTGCTCGCTAAAATGACATGGATTGTAATCACGACGTACAGCTAAGCTTACTAAAAGAGCGACATGAACGCGCTGCTTGATCGCTGTCGTTAAGAATTACACATTAAGCCATGAGTTTTTTCACAAACTGTGAAATCAGAATAAACCTGTACATAATAACAGGCAAAACAAAATGACCAACTGTTCAGAATAAAGGGGGTAAGTTTTTAAAGAAACTGTGGTGCTGTGTCGGTGGGAGAGTATCACAGGGTAATTTGGTTTTATCAACTGAGGTTGATAACTTAAATTGGCTACAGTAAAGAGTTTCATAGTTGACGTTTCGAGCGTTTGCCCTTCGTCAGAGCGAATAGCAAAGAAGAAGAAGTTTAGGTAAATTTTGTCACAAATAAAATTCAACTGTTTAGAAGTTTTCCTTTGAATAGTCACACGCTAGAATTTTTTCCTAATGCTGGAAAGCCCATGGTAACCGAGTGATTTAAAATGACATCATAGAGTTCGAAGTTCACGAGCTTTCACAATGGATAGAAAATGTCAATCTGACCTTACCCTTTTTGTCGACAAGTTCTTCACCAAAGTGAAGTGGAATGAAAAGTGTGAAATATCTTGCCTCGAAGGTGGAATAAACGCATAGCATTTGACAATTTAATCCGATGTGATGTATGGTAGGCGTCTGAGCACTTTCTATTTTGAAGCGATTCGACCAACAATAACAGCTGGAAGCAATAACGAAAGGAAATAACATGCCTTGATGACAACACTCAATTGGCCGCAAAACATCGCCTTTGACTCACTCAGAGGCAGTGATGGGCGAAAACAATGAAAGCTAAAAAGCATGTTATCAGTGCGTGTAATTGTAAAAACCACAGAATATATTCATTGCCGCTGAGGTTTCATTCAATGTACAAAATGCAAAAAGGCAGGTTCAGCTCAAGGGTAAAGGAATAGAGAGATCTTTGCAAAACATTTATTAATGGTTCGTTGATTTCAGACATGCTCAATATAAATAGGTCTGACTTTCTTTCCGAGTATCTACCTTTGTGGGCGTCCTGTAACACAAACAACGACACGCGATTAGGGCATGCAAATATCAAATTATTTCATGGGATTGCTTATTTTCGGCTGTTATCTTCCTGGTGGCAAAAGATATGAATGTGACGATCAGAGAAGCTAATCCGAGTCTTTGAGCAACTCCAACCATGATTTTGCATTTCATCTGTCTAAAGCTTAACTCTGGTAAAAAAAAAATAAAAAAAAAAGAACAAACGACGAAAAAAATAAATTTCCAAAACTTCTCTACGATGACTTTTTACCGTTGGTAAAAATAAAAAAAAAAACTTTGAACCACGTAGATAAGAATTTATCAAGAACGTGATCAAAAGCTACGTTATCCAGTTTTTGCTGAATAATTTGTAATCGGCTTTATCTTGCGAATTTCTGGCGAAGTTGAGTTGACATTTCCATTCATACGTAGAATGTAATCTGTTGTGCTGACAAAATCCATTTTTTAAAATAAAAAACAGAACTTGGGCTTCTCTAATTTCCACGTTTATACAGGAAGATTTGGCAATTTTAATCAAATCGTCCACAGTATTTTTACAAGAATCAAGTATAATTACAGCTGTTCGTTTTCCTGTTTATCTACTTCGTTCAAACACCGACAATTTCGAAATTTCTAAAGCTCTAGTTTTTTTGCCCGTGTTGTGGTAATTCTGAGATGCTGAAAACAAAAAAGCCCCCCAAAAAAGATTCTGCTCACGCAAATGTCTGTATTATAGAACAATGCAACTGCGTCTGTAGTGTATTTGTTTTTGCGAAACCACAGCAGCGTTCAGGTTTCATAAAAGATCCACCAAAGTTTCTCTTACACCTTTGATACTCTGTTTCCGGCAGTGCCATTAGTCATTGTAAAATTTTTAATCCTGTAATCTCCGGCAAACGACTGAACAAAACACAACAAACATGAAAAGTTTGTCAGGAGTGATCAAATGATTGCACCTCGTTCGCACTTATGAGTTTCATCAACAGAATTGATGGAAGAACCACCTTTTACGTCGCAATAAACAGCACCAAATGAAAAGACAGCTTAGTATACTTCATTTAACTGGGTCTACCATTAAATGGTAGAACTACCATGTATGTCGTAACAAACAGATCAACGCTAAATTGAAGCTCGGTTACTTTCATTTTAAAGGTATAATCCGGAAACTTTTAAGTTAGAAACACCTTATACAGCATGATAACCAGTACCACATAAAAGAGGATCTCGATGAGTTTAACGGTTATCGCAAAAAAATTAGCCGTTACGCATAAAAACTGACAAGTCTTAAACGTTAGATGGAAAGAAAGTTAACCGTGAATAGTTTTCCTTTAAACCGTAACAGAGAGAAATTAACCGTTAGGCGTTCTATGTTTACTATGGAAACTTTCACGGTGAGAATGAAAAAGAGGAATAATTTTTTGTTTTAAGTTCAAGTTCACAGGAAGTTCAAGCTATTGCCTGAAAGTTCTTAACTTTAAGTCATCTCTACGGGATGTGTCACTTCGTAATAGAATCCGAACCTAAAGTCTAAATATGCACACTATTCCGGCTTCGAAAAAACTTAATGCATTGCAAAAAAATAAGGAAAAAAAGTAAAGAAAAAAAGTGGCAGATGTTTCTTATCTACTTTGGGTCTACATTACCTTGAATCACCTG